CCCGCCCTCCTCCTCTACCCGCCATACCTACTCACGGAGCTAACGAACGGTTGAGCGTAGCGTCGAGTAGACCGCATCCCAAGTATAACGTACGTATTCACGAGGACCTCCTCTATACATCGTGGAAAAAGCGTGTATGGAGCCGCCTGTGCTACCAGGAGTACTAGTAGTGATCGTGTAGTGCGCCGGCTGGACAAGAGAAACGTGGTGTGACAGTGAGAGCACGGTAGCGCGTGCGGTGCGTGTCGCGATACACGACGGTCACGAACAGGACTCCGTACGAATGTGTGGGTGCGTGTGGCGTATGTGTGTGTGTGTGTAGTCACCTTTTCGTGAGAGCAAGCGAGCGAGTGCGTGCGCGCGCGCACAGCGTTCGCGTGCGTATGTGTGCATGTCCTGTATGAGGGAGATAGAGGAGCGTATGTGTGGTGCGTGAGTGCGTGTCGTGTAATTTCTTCGTGCATCCTTCTTTTCCTTGTTGGTGGTACCGTTTGGTAAACGAGGCCGAAGTGACAGACAGACCGTCCGCGTGTACGATATGTCGGAACACCACCGCGTAGCCGGTGGCTGGGGCACACCAAGCCCAGGAAGCCGTGAGGATACCTCCGGTGGTACCGCCTGGTGGCCTTCGGGTTTAAACACCGTCTCGGCAGAACAACAACAGCAACAACAGCAGCAACAGCAGCAACAACAAAATCTACATCAACACCTGATGAATCAACAGCAGCAGCAGTTAACACAACAACAGCAAGCGCAGCAACAGCATCATCAGGATATCGTTAGGAGTACCGCTGCCGCTACCCAGCAGCTTTTCTCCTACAAGATGGCCTCCAGCTTTCAGAACCCAGCCACCACGGGCACGCAGTCGAATCCCATCTCGACGTCTACGCCGGTTGGCTCCTGCATGAGGGGAGGCTATGATTATAGATTAGGAACGGGGCCCGGAACAGGCGGAGGTGTACCTGGTACACCTTCCGCACCACCGCCTGGCGTACAGTGGTGGTACCCAGGTGGAGTTATGGACGCCGGACAGAACAACCTGCATCAGCAATTGCAGGGCCAACAACAGCAGCAGCACCTCTCGCCCATTACCACACAAACGTCCACGCCCCCCGTTATGTCCCCGGTATGTTGCGTCCACGATCGACCCCCTTTATGCTTCCTCTTTTTCACGTTATTGCCTGCTTTTCAATTTTATATTCTTAGTTTTTTTTTTTACACCCTATACATTATATTTATACATATTTTTCGCTTACTTCTATTTGCGCGGGATTCTTTTCATGCACCTGGAAGAAGAGCGCCCGATATGATCTTTTAATGTCTCTTATCAAACAATTTCGCATTGCTTTTTAACCGATTATTCTAACTTGTTAAATATGTTACGGTTTCCTTGAAAAGGTTGCACCTCTGTTTCATCTCGTTCTTTGAATTACTTCACTTTTTTTTTCTTTCTTTTCTTTTTCGTAGATAAAGCGTGAAATCTATTAGTGGTCTGTTAGTAAGTGTCCAAAACATAAAAAGGTACTTTTTATTAGTATTTTTATTTCTCCAAAGTACGCTTAATGGTATACGTAGATTAATAATTACAGCGAATATCCGAGCTTTACAGTCTTTTCCTTTTGTTTTGGAAAGTACTGACTAATCGATTTCGACTAGCTGGGCAAGCATCAGTATTTCATTGTCTTTGAACTGAAAAGGAATGAGTAAAGAAACGAACATAATTACAATAATTATGATAACACGTGACTGAATGTCAATTTCTGTTTAGTTGTAAGTAATATCTTCATAAAGACATGCTTTAGTATGCGCGCATGGTTCTGAGAATTTCTCTCGATTGTAAAATTTCAAACGGTCGTCATCATAATGGTCATACTTTGACTCGAGCGATATTTTGAATTATTACATCCTTAGTTACGTTGTCAAGACATTTTTTTCAACGTTAATGAAGCTAAAGACTCAGGGAATAATCAAATAGATTTATATTTTGAAATTATTCCGAAGTTATAAATATTTCATAACTGGACTAGCGAAAGAAATCAACTCGATGATACAGCATCGATTATTTCTTATTTTTACGCATGTTCATATTTCTTTGTCAATTCCTTCTTTTTCATTCTATTTAATTTTAACATTCACTCGTGATTCTGCCTAGTGATTTTTGGTTGCAGATATTATATACTTGGTAGATAAAATAACTGGCAATGACTGAGTAAGTCAACTATCAATCTTCGGCTTTGTTCGTATTCAAAAAATCTTAATAACCGATTCTATCGTGCCATGCTTTCGTACTACCGTCTGCGTTTCATCCTGACTCGCGTCTCTTGCCCCACCGACCGTTGTCCGCTATTGATTCCGGGTTTCGTGCGGCCTTCTTCGTACGTACGTTCGTACAGCGGCTCTTGCCGCGCCGGTTCCCTTCTTTTTTTTCGATTCCTCTGATCGAAGTGTTTTAGACATTCACGATTAGAAACAGAGATTTCGATTGATGGTCCTTCCTTTAGGAGTGAATATATTTAGTTTCGACTCGCTTTTTCCATTCTGACGTAACAAAATTTGTCTTTTTTTAATGTCGGACATTTTTTTAATTCTGAATTTCAAATTCCGTTTTATTCGATTTTTATTAGATATCGTATTTAGTTTTTCTACGAAGGCTGCAAAGAGACATTCTTTTGTAATCGTTTTTGATAATTGACCTGAGACGAAAAATTCTTATTTTTTTAGATAATGTTAATAGTTTGAAGCTGAATCTTTTATCTTCCTTGTTTGCGTTTTAGTCGATAGCAATTATAAAACAAAAATTCTAATTCATAACGTCATTTCTTTGACATAAAGAGACGCCGCATTTTAATTGGTTTCGTTGATTAAATGCAAAAAAATGAATACCATTTTTCAGGAATTCTCTGAATGGTTTAAAACTTTTTCCATGGTTTTCTTTATTTGTGTATTTGTTATTAATAAGCAGAAGAACTTCTGAGCAATCGTATCTTCAGTATAAAAAGACATTCGTATTCGAATTGATTTCGTGAATCAAATATGAAATTCATAACTCCGTGTTGCCGGTTCGTGTTTTATTCATTTATAACGGAAAAGAAATTTAAACGAATAGTTACTCCTTTTAATGAAAATTAGGTAACTTTTTAGTTTGTCTGCGAATGACAAAAATGTAAAATCATTTTTGCTCGTAGATTCCATAAATTTCTTTTTCTCTTTCTTTCTTTTTTTTTCCTTTTTTTTTTTTTTTTTT